CACGTATAAAAGCAACCCCAGCGCAGAAAACTGGACGGAATACGTTTTGCATCGCAACTACTGTGTGCTTTTGGTTCGCGAAGACAAGAGAACGCCTCAGCAGGAGCTAGCCAAACGATTCTGTTCGAACAAAAAGCTTCTTTACAAACATGTGAATGGACTTCGCAAGGTGCAACGGGGAATCCCACCACTTAATACGACCAATGGGTATACACATACTGCGAAAGAGGCGGCCAACGCATTACGGGCCCAGTACTCCCCAATCTTCCAAGGTGTACAAGCCTCGACGTATATTCCGCCACTAGTTACCCTACCGTCCGTTTTATCCAACGTCACGTTCACTGCAGAAATGGTGCTGCAATAGCTTCTACCCTTGCGTCCACACAGCTCTCCCCGGGCCGATAACATTCACCCGAAAACATTACAGGTAGCTGCCATCCACTTGGCCGAACCACTAGCTGCATTTTTCAGCGCTGTTTCGATGAGAACGTCATACCTTCGAAGTGGAAACAAGATGTAATAACGCCCATATACAAAGCAGGAAGTCGATCAGATCCTGCCAATTACCGCCCCGTAACGCTTCTGCCTGTGATCGCCAAAGTCATGGAAGCGGTGATAGCAGATGCGTTAATGGGATACTTGGAAAACTACGGTATAATTGCGCCAGAACAGCATGGGTTTTGTCAACATCGTTCATGTAGGACGAATCTGCTGATAGCTCGTGACAACTGGACCGAGACTGTCGATGAGGGAACAGGAGTCGATGTTGCATTCTTGGACTTTTTGAAAGCCTTCGATCGCCTGGATCATCGAATCCTGCTCATTAAACTCCAACAGTACGGTATCGGAGACCCGTTGTTAGGATGGATCGGTAACTTTCTCTCTGAACGGCAGTTAGAAGTTAGAGTTCGATCATCCTTTTCCGATCCGATTCGAGTGAGATGCGGCGTACCGCAGGGTTCTGTACTTGGGCCTCGTTTGTTCCTGCTTTTCAGTAACGATTTAGTAAGAGTTATTACGTCGAAATTCTT